AATACAGACAAAGAAGCGTTTCACTCGTTGAATTTAGCGAATGGTATATTTCTGCTTTGTTGAATTAAATTTTGGCACCCACCCATGAAACCGAAGGTATAAGGATTTGTACAGATTTTGCAAAAATTAGGACTTTGGCACATTTAATAGCTAGAAAACTCTGAGCTCGAGACGCGCGTTAAATACTTCGCCGTGCGATTCTATCTCGCATGCGTCAAAGTACATTCTAAAATTTCCTGTCATAAATTACAGAAAGTGCAACACTGAAGAATATTTATTCTTCGTTCTTAGGTTTGTAAAGTGGCAACAGTGTGACTAGCGAAAACGGGGGCATATACAGGGCGATTTTCTGGCTTTCCGAACTCGCGACCTGAATCCACGCTACCAAATGCTATAAGAATATCATTTAATTACGAAAGAAACAAATATGCTGCCTCTCGTGTAAGCGAAAATGTTGATGGAATTCTCACATTTCAATCTTGCTTCTGAGACCCCATAACACACCTTTTTCTTCCTCCGCATTTTAAAGCTCGTTCATGTCACTCATTAGAAAGCAATGAAATATGTATATGAGAGCGCATTGGTGCGCAATAAAATTCACTCACCTCTCTAATGAGACTCCGAAACACCCTGCAGTCTTCCGGTATTAAAATCTTGTCTCTTCACGTCATCCTCTGAATATGCTCCTGAGTGTCAGTGTAGAGGTGGTGGTGTGATATATTTCACGAACCACAACCTCTGCACTGGGGCCCCGAAACACTTCCACTTCTGATGTTCAGACTCCTTAGCTATGATGCTTGGGACTCGTTACTGATATCCCTGAATTATAAATCTAGATATATGCCCCGGACGGTCAATGACGATATTGTGACCTGCTATATACAGATGACTCACCACAACCCCACCATTGAGTGAATTCCACCCGAATTACTCCCCCTTATCACTTAAACTTGTGAATTATGCTGTATAACATTGAGGTTCAAAACGATGATGTATGCCTCTGAGCGACAGTGAGAAGATGGTGGTGTGTTGGAATACAAACACCACACATCTCCTCAGTGAGACTCCCGAGACACTCATTAATTTTCCGCTCTTTTGAACTGCTGCTTTTTGTATTACTTCATATCGATGATATTACGAAGAAGTCTATATGGGGAAGAAATATGTGGAGGGTATTGTGACCGAAGATAGAAACGCTGAAATTCCAGAAATGAGCTTCGTCTTCCACTGCTTAAGAATCGTTAGCGTCTACTTTCAGTGTCCGATTAGCGACACAACATTCTCGTGCACTTATTCTCATCACTGCTTACGAATGTTACTTGTGAATTCTTTAATACATAGTTTTATTTCATTTTGTCATTATGGTTTTGTAGTGATGACCTTCCAATAGGAGATTGTGGATCATTACAGTTCACATCGTATCAATAAAATATTTTAATATAACATTTATTAATATTTCTTTAATTTTCTACATTAAAAAGGTGAATTTTTTAATTATGGTGTGGAATGGATTTTTATGTATCGAAGTATGAAACTTATGAGCAGCATCATCAGTTTAGTAGAAGCACACACATACTGAATGATAATCACTTCCACATTATAACTGGAAGGTGATGTGTCCATGAGTTTATGCATATTGCATGTAACGCACATGGAACCATGAAACTAATTAAGAAAACGTGTACTGCGCAGCGTGATAATGCTTGGACAGGTTGGCGTGAGACGCCTGCAGAGCAAGGACAAGATTCGGACTGAGAGTTGTAGCGAGTTGTATCGAGCCGGTTGTAGGTACGTTCGGCGGAAGTCGGCAACTTCCGGGACGCGAGGCAGCAGCCGACTAATGCACCGAATTTTAACACTAGAAGAAATGCATGATACCTCCACTTAATATGATGTTTCTCCTCTATTTTATTTCTTTTTGGGTTTTATTTTAGACAATTTTCAATTACGTAGTTGGTATTTAGTAGTCTATCAGTATCTCGATTAAGTAGATCTGATGTTGATGTATGTGTTTCAATATTTCAGCTATGATTGTGGCTGGCGTGCTTTATATTCGACAGTCACATTCATTGCTAAAGACATAGAGACACCTTTACCTTTCTACTTTTCTCTTTTATTTACTTATCACTAACTGCATAATATTGTACTAATTGCATAGTATTGTAATAAGTTCTTTGACGTTCTTAACGAATAGTCGTTCTAATAATTACAAACCGGTATAAAATTCCCTTTGAAAAAATTGAAAAACGGATTAATTTAGACTACTCTCTCTCTCCCACTCTCCCACTCTCTCTCTCCCTCTCTCTCTCCCTCTCTCTCTCCCTCTCTCTCTCCCTCTCCCTCTCTCTCTCCCTCTNNNNTCTCTCTCCCTCTCTCTCTCGTTTTGAGAACGAGTATCTCGTCTCATAGTTACTCCTCCAGAAACGTAGAATTACTTTGTTTTTTTTTCTTACCTTCTATTTCTGTGTTGTCAGTACGCAAACGCCTTTTTTTTAATTGCCTCGCACAGAATTTGATTTAATTTATTACGTCAAAATGTAATCTGCGTAGGTTTTATTGAGCTTTCGATTAATTGAGAACGTGCGTTTGAGGGAGTAGCCTATAAAACGATTTAATTTACGCCTCACTTGCTGCTCAATAAACCCTCGAAAGGCCACTTTCTTTTCGGCATGCAATATTTTTTACCATAAGTCATTGTAGAATATTCTCGGGCACAGTCTTTTATGTTGGGCAGGTTCGATAGAAATATTCCCATGCGTCACAAAGAAGTGTAATTTATATTTACTTGGCTATCCGGGAGACGCCGCGCCCAGAACACAGTTGCCAACGTTTCGGTCACAATTCTCCGACCTTCATCAGGGTGTAGTTATTGCGCGGAGATGGACTGCGCGTCCTGGTAAAATAGACGCTTCCAGGCATCGTGGAGACGTAGGACTTGATCAGCATTGAGGTTTTGGGGATGTTTAATAATTCTATTGCCTCTTTAACTCTCCTCGTTCCTCAGCGGTCTTCTTTGGCTTGGAGGCGGGTGCCTTCAAATAAAATGCGTGGCCAGCGTTCACTTCCATATTTCTCAGGAATGTGTATGTTGATGCAGGTCGTCGATAGCATTTTTGGTTGTATTGATCTGCAAATACACATTAGAGTCAATAACATGTTGATTTCAAAATCAATTCGAATGGAAAAATACTTACTCTGGTATCTGGACCAGCGAAGTGTACGAATATGTCCAGCAGGGTCGGCAGCATGATTTAGTGCTACCTAATGACTGTATAATTTACACGCCACCTGCAAGTGAAATGTGTTGTAATTAGTTTTTGTATCTCACGTTGGGGTGTGTGACGGTTAATTTAACTGTCAGAACCATGGCCAGGAAGTGGCGCCTTTTTGGTCGGCGTCAAAACTAGTTAAACATAAGTGACGAGAGCGATTTGAACATGAATGAACGGTACCAACCTGGTGAATCACAAGAGCGAGTAGTTAAATTAAAGAATATACAGACCACAAATACAGTGAGTTCTAACACTAGCACGCTGCATTATTATTCGGATTTGGTGATGTTAGGACTGGAGATCCTTTCTGACGCAAACCACAGGAATCACACAAGCAAATTACACATACACAACAAACAGAATTACGAAACACACACACAACCATTCCCGAGTCGGGATTCGAATTCAGAATGTTTCAGCCCTGGATCTCCATGGCTCTACTGCCTTAACGATGTCTGCTACCAGGATTGGGTCTTTCTTTAGAATGTCATCTCTGTAAAAAACCTCACCATTTTTATCACAAGCTGTTTGTTTCCGGCCCTTTTCATGTGACGTGCGGGACCATTCGTCATCATTCCTTGTCGCAACCGGTGAGTCAAAGCCCCTTCCTAGACAGACGCAAGATCTTTGATTGCTCATCAGGAACATTTTCTGAACGGTAAATACCTTGCATTAGAAAATATTCTCGACGGAACTCTCCCTATTTTTCTGCCCGCACACTCTGTATGTACTTAACTGCCACCACGTCATACCCAATTGCAGTTCATATAAACCTATGTATGTATTTAATACTAGCGAGTTTAAAGTATTGGGATTGTGACGTAATAAAATACCAACATTATAATCATTTTACTGACACCCCGAAACACAACGACGTTTGCTGCTGTTGCTGTTTGTAATTTTACGAGTAATTGTTCATACATTTGATTGCCCCTGAATGTTAATGAGCAGATAGTGACGTGCTGTCTATTTTTCACTCACCACAACCTCCCCATTGAGATCCTGAAACACGATTATGCTCTTGGGTACTTATGGCGGATCGGAAAGAAAAAATTGAATTGAAGAAATGATGAAATTTTCCTCCAAATGTAAATGAGTAGTAAGGGACACAAATTCTACAGACTCCGAATTATCTTGAGCTCTTTAAAATTTGTGAGCAATCCTTCATGTCATTGAGATTAAACCGAAGGAATATGCAGCTTACATTGTAATCGGAGCTGGTAGCGTAATACAATTCACACATACAAGATCTTTTCTAAGAACCCTTAACCCCTAAGGTTTAGTGATGAGACGGCCCTGTGATAAAATTCGCACTGCAAAATCTTCTCATTCAGATCCCGAAGCACATTCTTTTTAGGATTTTGAAACGTGTTAGCGGTGCTTCATATCACTGAATTATAAAAGTAAGAAATATGCCGTTTATATTGTGAGCGGTATTGATGGAGTCATACAAATAACACACTCCAAACTTTTCACAGAAACACCGAAACATAACTACTTTAGAACTCCGATACTACTCCAAACAACAACTTCAATAGAACACTGAATTTTTTGTCACAGTGTGTCTTGTATGGTGACTTAACACGTTACAAATATTCCAATGAAACACAACTTCTTGCTTTGCAGTTTTGATCTTGCGAGCACTTCTTTCCATCCCTCAAGGAGAAATTGATGCAATACGCCCCTGAGCATCAACAAGGTGGCTGGGACGTAATGCATATCATTCACACGCCACAACCAACCCGTTGAATCCCCGAAGCACATCTTATTCCTTTTCTTCTTCTTCTTCTTCTTCTTCTTCTTCTTCTTCTTCTTCCTCTTCTTCTTCTTCTGTCACTGAATTAGATGTTTATGAAATATGCACGAAAAATAATGTGGCTGATATTGTGAGCGGAGTCAATTACCTCTGTTCAAAGAACAAATCGTCTCAATGAAATCTCCGAACTGACCTTCGTTTTCAATTGCCTTCTGGAATTATAATCTTGTCTCTTGACGTTGGAGAATTACAGCCCGATGAAATATGCTCCTGAGCGTCAGTGTAGAGATAGTGGTGTGATAAAATTCAGGAACCACGACCTCTGCACTGGGGCCCTGAAACACTTCCACTTCTGATGTTCGGAACCTGTGAGCGTTAATTTATATCACTGAATTACATGTCGATGATATATGCCCCGGTGAGTCAATGACAGGACTGTGGCGAGCTATAATCAGATGAGTCGTGACCATCTCACCACGGAGTAGCAGAAACACAGATTCTGATGATTAAAAATGGTCAAAGTTACATTATGACACTGAGATACAAAGCGATGATTTATGTTTATGAGCGACAGTGAGAAGATGGTGATGTTATAAAACACATACACCACACAACTCCTCACTGAGGCTCCTGAAACACACATTAATCTTCCACTGTTTTAAACGGCGGCTTGGTGCGTTAGTTCGTACGCTGATCTTACAAAGAGGAAACGAGATAATGAAATATGCGGCTGATATTGTGAGCGGAGGTAATCACCTATGTTCCAAGACCAAAATAATCCCACTAAAATACACTCACTGAGCTTCATCTTTCACTGCTTAAGAGTCGTTAGCATCTGATTTCAGGGTCTGATTAGCGACACTATATTTTTGTATACTTCTGTCATCAGTATACACTGCTATTAATTGTTAGTCTTTAATACATAATTTTATTTCAGTTTGTCATTTGCTTTTACAACGGTTAGAATCCAAGACGTGAATATAGAATCTTCCAGTTTACATCGACATCGATATTATGTTCATTATTTTATGTTAATTTTCAATATTAAAAATGTGAGAAGTTTTTTAATTATGGTGTGGAGTGGCTTTCCATGTGTCTCTTAAGAATGTGAGTAGCAAACATTGACTATGTGGCGAACACGTTGTGACCTATCGCCACTAGTTACGAATATTATTCCATGATTCTGAGATATAATCATGCAGATTAATCCGTTCCATTTTCTCTCGATAGACGTTTTTTGAAAAGTTTGTTACAGATGAGATCATCAATAATTGTTCCCCAGGTTGTCGCTATGTAAGCGAATGTGATTTAGTTCGATCACGGACATTCTAGCGTTGTAAAAATCAGTTAATGTCCTGATGAATATTCAACGATATTTATATAATTTTTTTTCTTTGCACCCGACGCCTATCTGGCATTAAAAATTGAAAAGTAATAAAGTGATTTGCGACCAAGAAAAACTCATCCACGCAATGTAAAGTTTTCTTATTTATATCCTTTTCAGGTTTTATTTAGGACAATATTTTTATTATGTCGATCTGATGTCGATCCGTGTGTGATACTGTTTCAGCTATGACTGGGTTATTGTTTATTTTTGCCGGTCACAGTCATTCCTAAAAATTGGGCCCCATCTACCTTTATTCTTTGCTCTTTTATTTCTTTATTTCTTAATGTTTAATATATCAGAAGTTCTTTAAATTTTAGACCGAATACTCCTTGTACTGAGTTACAAACAGAAAATTAAATATCCTGCTTGGGGAAAAGTGTCTTTTGGAACGGATAAACTTAGACTATTTTCTGTCTGAGAACGGGTATATCATCTAGTGTTTACTACTTCAGACACGAACAATTATCATACCGTCATTCTTCTACCTTCTGTATTTGTGTTGTCAGTACGCAAACATCTATTTTGTTCTCATTTTTCTCGCATAGCATTTAATTCCCTTTATTTTTTAAATCAGCAACGCATATATCACGTACGGGAAACAAAAGTATATAACCCTGACCAATGTTCGCTAATGGCTATGCCGTCTGGGCTGACCTGCATGGCAAGGTTGCGGAAAGTCCGAATGAGAAGCAAAGCCTGCTTTTTGAAAGTGACCACAAAAAGGACCATTGACTTGGTGTCAAGTGTTCGTCATCTGTCATCAGAGCATTTACAAAACTCTGATCCAGCGACACAGTGTTTACTGTTTGAGTATACTGGCGATCCGGCGCCGCTATTCTATGCAAGAACGGATTCTATTAGAACAGGTGACTGTCTTCTGGCTGACATTGCAGAAACGTGCAGAAATGAACAATAAACGGGGAACCGAATCGCATACTTGGAAATGAAGAAACCCTTCATGAACATACGTCTGTCTCTGGACCATGTTTGTGCTCTACTGTAAGCTTTCGATAACTCTTTCGAATCCTTGTAACAGGCATTTTGCCAATGGGTCTCATTTACATCGAAGGCACGGTACAACACCAATTCACATGGAGAAGGAAAAATCCATCAGGGGTATTCTTATTTCACAATCTATCTTGGCGTATTATCACAAATTACACTTTTTAAGATAATAAAAAGAAGCAATATAAATATAAAATATATACAAAGACGGTTGAATACGTACCATTATCAATGAAGCAAGCAGAGGAACGAATTTTCTTTAACTGGCATTCACTTCGTATACATTTCTCAATCATCGAAAACATCTCTGGGTGTATGAATCTGAAAATATATATTAGTGTTAATAACATGTTTAATTGAAAACCAATTTGATTGAAAAATTACTTACTTTGGCATCTGGACCAGTGAGGTTTAGAAATGTCTTCATCATGATTCAGTTATGTATACTGACAGCTCATCCACACTTAACACTTAAGTGAGACGGTTATAATTCAGGTAATGTACTGAAAATGTGAAATCTGTTAATATGGGCGAAGGAAATATCTTTTCTGTATTTTAAAAATTAAAATCTGTACCTAAGGTATAATGTGAGTTTCAAATTTGAATATTTAATAAAGTTTACAAATAGCATTTATTTGGACTTAGCTTATTTGGACTTAGCTTATTCCAAGTTAGAGATGATTGCAATTTTATTCATGTTATATTCAATAGTAGTACAACACTGCCTTCTTTGTGACTCTAAGTAACGTTTACGTAATATTCAATTGGCACAATTTCTCTCCTTATTAACACATCTCAGTCATCACATGAAACACTCCTTATAAATCGTAGCATTTTTAGTTTTTTGATTATTTTTTTGAAAGGTAGCGGAACTGAATATTTTAATACATTGCTTTTTAGCTGTGATTTGCATTAGAATACAAAACAACATGGGGCAATTTAGAGACATCGTGTCCAAAGATTCTCCTCTGGTATTTGAAATATTTCTATTTAATCATGTTTTTAACCTTTAATTTTTGAACTTAATAATTTATCATTTATCATGAATTTTAGCTTGATGAAGTTCAAAGTTGCGTTTCAACGAAGAGTGTGATAAGCGGTTGAATACGCAGAATCTCCTTGTCATCGCTCAAACACATGGGTACAACTACCTCTTCAATTCCAAATGCGAGGTTGCTCTCTGCATTATTTTACAAATATATAAAATGAGCTCGGGAGGTGGGGGTGATATTAAAAATCTCACATCCTCATTCGTCACTTTCGTTTCTTTTACACACGATGAGAGAGATTAATGGCAACCGTTTTACTGTCGACCCTGTGTTTTACCGCTCCCTGCACTCCGCCCCTTCCCATTAAATAAAAAATCCCTGTTCCTTCTCTCGCTGCATCCGCGAGTCAGTGCCCGCTGGAAGACCCCTGCGGCAAGGGGTGTACGACAGTGCTCCTTACAGCCCCAATCTAAAACCACACGTTTTCTACTTTTAGAGTTATGTCTACAGCCAAACGATACCTACGAGCGGCTCGTCGCAAAATTATATCTTGTTCTTGACACGTATGTTTTATCTTTCAACGCTGCCTTCAGATGGTCAGCCTGTAAGAGAATTCAAAAGTACACTATTATATTATCCCTCATTACAATATATTAAATATTGATAAAATTCTGTCGTCTGATTGTATAGATTACGACACGCATTCACCTTTTGGTCAGGAGCCAATTCTTTTTACCAATTTGAACTTTCTTATGCATCAGCTGGAAACTTTCTTTCTTGAGATGTGCATTTATTAACTCTCTAGACATTTAGTACATCACTTGTACTATCTGGAAACTGCCTTACTGCCCACTTACTGTATGCTAGTCCGATTCTGCGATGCTTTTCCCCTGTTACAGCCTGTTCTTGAATGTGAACACTGCGACAGTATATCGATCGAAATCCACACATGTAAGTCGTGGACAGTCGTCATAGCTGGATAGCGGGTGACAGTCATTTTGGAAATCCAACTTAATATGAAATGCTATGTTCTACACAACGTATCACCATTGCCTGGGAACTTATAGTATCCATTAACACTGCTGACATGAGAGACGCCAGACATTTATGGTAATTTTTGTGATTAGCGTAATTGTATTAATTTTAATTTTCTAGCACTAATTCTTTGCTTATTATATTCCCATCATTACTTTTTCAGCCAATTTAAACATAAACTACCTTCTGAAGATATAACATTGTATTAATTCATAATTTAATTCACCATCATGCTATCATATTTGATAATGTTTGTTTAATTAAAGCTACCGAAATCATCGTCTTTCCCTGATTCATTCATATTCACTTTTTTCCAGCACTTCTTCTTCTTAGTCGTCGTCGTCTTCTTCTTCTATTTCTTCTTCTTTTGTGGTTAATAGGTTCTGAGTGATTTTAAAACACTACAAACTTTCCACTGAGTCAACGGCCATATATCTTCTTCTTCGTCAGCTCTACGGACCTTGACAACGATTCGTCTTACCACCGAAGGAGAAATCGACGAAATATGTCCCTGAGAGACAATGATGAGGTTGTGGCGTGCTATATATAATTTACACGCACACAACCCCGCCAGTGAGTCTCGGAAACATACATTCCTCGTTGACTGTTTGGTTCTTATTAATGACGATTCAAAACATTGAATTACTTTCTATGCGCGGTATTTCTGAGAGTGATAGTGGCGTAGTAAATTGATACAGTTTGGAACATGCAATCCTTTCTTCATATCTTTCAATGGGAAAATCATTAATTATACCCTAAACGTGAACAAGGTAGCACAGACGTGCTGTATAAAGCTCAGACATCACAACCCACCTGTTGACATACTATCTTCTCCTTCTTCTCCTTCTTGTTCTTCTTGTTCTTCTTCTTCTTCTTCTTTTTCTTCTTTGTCGGTCGGTCGGTTAATCGTCGTATCACAGAATGAGAAATCGACGAAATATGCCCCTGAGAGACAATGATGAGATTGTGACGTGCTATACATATTTTACACGCACACAACCCCATCATTGAGTCCCCGGAACAGATCTTATTCACCTCGGGTTTGTCTGTTTGGTGCTTGTGAGTGACTCTCATATATTTCAAGAGATTCTTGTAATAAGTGCAATAAGTGAAATATAGAATTAATGGAGAGCATCGAATATCTCTTCCCAATGGCATTCGATGTGAATCAATCAACACCCACCGTAGTCAGCAATGCTCTTTACGTGCTACACAACTCCAGCGGTATTCCGCAAAGTAACTTCATCAATTTACCTACCAGACAGTGTGAAAGTGCCACGAACGTGGTTACTGCCATGGAATCTTCTATATCAGAAACTTTATGTTATCAAGACCCATCGCAAGGTACAACGCTCGTGACCTAAGGCAGCCGGCATGAGGTAGACGCCAGCGTCAACCAAAGAAAAAGGTCAGTAGGTGAGGTCGCTTCCAACAGCGATAACAAAAAACACAGTGCAAGTGCAAGTGACAGTGACTATGTCAAACGTTTTACACCAGATTTAGCCAGTGCACCATCCACAGACGGTTACGATTTTCCCATAGGCATACCCAAAAACTTCAACTACAGAAACGAGAATATAGACTTGCAATCTTCATACAATGTCCCTGTACGTAACTGATTTTCGGAATTACCCTTTAATCAATTGTCTTTTCCCAGATAACCGCTACAACTATTTTAAGTATGATCAATCTTTACAGTCTACTACAATCAATAAAATATTTCCAATTTTTATTGTCGAGATAACTATCATCAACTGATTTGTTAATGAAATTAAAATTAAAGTATCAAAAAACTTCGTATCTGAACAAAAAAAACAACAAAGTGAAAATCAATCCCAGCTCAGCTGAAGATTTCCGTAAAATCATAAAATACTTAATCAACACAAATAGAAGATTCCACTCCTACAATGACCCTGCAAACAAAAACTTTTCGCTAGTATTAAAAAATGTCCACCTCTCAATAACTTACAGTGAAATCATGCAAGATTTAAAACAGAGACACCCATCCATTGTTAAAACCACCCGTCTTCAGAAGGGCAGCCATCCCATCTCCGTAACAGCAGCCGAGTTCCACGGTAATGAAACACTGGAAACAATACTCAACATTAATCAAATCTGCGACCTCAAAGTCACCACCGAAAAAAGAAAAAGACCAAAAGTTCCACTACAATGCTATACATATTTGGACTTTGGACACTCTAGAAACAATTGCAATCACAGAATTAACTGTGCAATATGTTCTGGTAATCACTATGCTATTACTCGTCCTGAAAGTAAAACAAACCCCACCTGTATTCTTTGCAAAGGCAATCACCGTGTAGATGGAAGAAATGAGAACTGTTTATACTATAAGAAAATTGTTGAAAAGAAAATCACCCCACCCAATAACAGAAGAAATCCATACCAATGAACACCTGAATCCCTTAGCGACCAACAAAAACAATTTCATCACTACCCCCTACCCAGCCAATCCAAAATTTCACTAGGAGCAACCATGCAAGACAATCAGGATTCGTTAACAATACGAGATCACAGAGAAACCATACTCAACAAAACCAACAAAATAATAATAATACCCTTTTAAATAAATAATTAATTCTATATCGTTCTTTATTATTAACTTCATAAACTCCCTCATACCATCAATAATCAACACAATTCAAAATACAGTTACAGTATTTTTAATAGCAATAATGTCAATACAAGCCCAAAGATATATATCATTAACAAATTGGGATGCAAATGGGATCACATCCAAACAAAATATAACTTAATATTTACACTCATACAACATAGAAATTCACCTAACAATAGTAATAAATTTTACATTTCCGAATACAAAATTTATAGAAATGACAGGACATAACATAAAGGAATATACCAGTCAGGAATAATATAATTCATCATGAAATTTATATACCAAACATCACAGGAATTGAAACAGTAGCAATAACCCTAACAATGAACAATGAATCATGAAATATAATAACTGTCTATAAACCTTGAGCAAT